CATATTACAATTAGTTCCCCCGCTCCCGCATTGGTGAGGTCCTCCAATAAATGTTGAGGCAGGCACAGCCCAGGAGAAAACCCACACAGCACGCACTACCTTAGTAGAGTCTCCAATGACCCTTGTCCAAGAAAAAGATGAAAGAAAACACATTCTTTTACGAAATGTGCCTCTTTTGTTTGCGCCCTGTCACATCCTCCTTAGACTGTGTCCTGAATGAATTGAAAGGCGTCTTTTTGCGTTTCACTTGAGCAAGATTCACTCTGTTATATTATTGACCTAGTGTACCCAGCAGGAAATATTACAATTAGACTGCCTTTCCCACTGGCCAGAATCTTCGGGCGCAGCCGCTACATGCCAACACTTCCAAGGGAAAATGCGGCACAGTGCAAACTTGTGATCAACCGAAAGGGAAATTGTAAGTTACATTTTTGAGGGTGAGGTAGAAAGAAGCATGGACCCTCACCCTCAAAAATTTAACTTACAATTCCCGAAAGCATTGCGAAGGGTTCTTCCGGAAAATCCTTTGAACACTGACACTTCGACACTTACATTTAGACATTGACACTTTCACCACACTTGCAGGACAACATGAACGCTAGACGTAGCCCTGTGTAAGTGGAAGAGCGAAAGCAGTGAAGTGCAAAGCATGCAATGCAAGTGTCAAAGTATGCAAGTGGAAGTATGCAAGTGTAAGTATGCAAGTAATGAGTTGCAAGCGTGCAATGAGTATGCAAGCATGCAGTGAGTAGTGAGTAGGCAATGAGTATGCAAGTGTGCAGTGAGTAGGCAAGTGTGAGTATGAGTATGGAAAACTAGCACGGGAGATGTCCTAATGAAAAGACATTCCCCACTTTATAAATTCTCTCTTAAAGGCGGAGGGTGGGACGAACAGCGTCAACCGAAAGTGCAACCCTCTGCGGAGATCGTGCGTGTCGAGCGCGCGAAATGCAGGCGAGAGTGCGATTAGCCGGCTGCGCGCGCAACCCTCTGCGGAGATCGTGCGTGTCGAGTGCGCGAAATGCAGGCGAGAGCGCCGCGCGCCGGGTGCCCGCGCAACCCTCTGCGGAGATCGTGCGTGTCGAGTGCGCGAAATGCAGACGAGAACGCGATTCGTGAAATTACCGCGCAACCCTCTGCGGAGATCGTGCGTGTCGAGTGCGCGAAATGCAGGCGAGAGTGCGATGTGTGAAATTACCGCGCGACCCTCTGCGGAGATCGCGCGTGCCGAGTGCGCGAAATGCAGCGGAGCAAGCTGTGGAGGTGGAAGCTGAGAACTGGCGACTTTGTAGTACAACTTTAGTACGCGGAGTAGCTGGGGAGCTGGAAGCTGAGAACTGGCGACGTGGTAGGACAACTGTAGTACGCGGAGTAGCTGGGGAGTGGGAAGATGAGAACTGGCGAGTGGGTAGTAGAACTTGAGTACGCGGAGTATCTGGGGAGCTGGAAGCTGAGAACTGGCGAGTTTCTAGTACAACTTGAGTGCGCGGAGCAATGTGTGGAGCTGGAAGCTGAGAACTGGCGACTTGGTAGTACAACTTTAGTACGCGGAGTAGCTGGGGAGCTGGAAGATGAGAACTGGCGACTTGGTAGTACAACTTTAGTACGCAGAGTAGCTGGGGAGTGGGAAGATGAGAGCTGGTGAGTGGGTAGTACAAGTTGAATACGCGGAGTATCTGTGGAGCTGGAAGATGAACACTGGCGACTTTGTCGTACAACTGTAGTACGCGGAGTAGCTGGATAGCTGGAAGATGAGAACTGGCGACTTGGTAGTACAACTTTGGTACGCGACGATGAGCTGGGCTGTCACCGCTTGGCCGCCGGTGGGGGGTTTGGGAGGCCTGCGCGCTAAGTCGTTCTGTATATGTACACTGAAGACCTTCACCAGCAGCAGACATGGACATACACACACAGACAGGGACTCACACACACACATCACGCACAGAGACCCACGCACTGCCGCAACTTACTCGGACACACACACATATAGACAGAGACTCATATACGCGCGGACATAGATACACACACAGAGGCCCACACACTACCTCAACTCACTCGACTTAACACTTCACACTGCACACCTAACAGATAACTCGCACTCAGACTTCCTACGTGATGAAACTAAGGGCCCGAAAGCATTTTTCATCGCGTAGGACATTGAGATCGCCGAATACTCCACTCGGTGCGAATACGCGTCATGGAGTCTGCGTTCGGCGCGGTCGGGGCGAATCCGTTGCCCAAAGACTTGGGTCAGAATCGGTTGATGAATCCTGGATCCAGGAGACCCCCGTGAGACCCCCTGGAAGGACAATAGACCACGACCCATTGGTGGAGGGTTTCCATGAATAACGCAACTACACACCTATGTCGATGACCTAGATCCTGGCAGGACGCTACTAGGTGCTCCTGCCCTTAAGCTACTAGCAGGAAACCTACGTTTCGTTTCGTTTCGTTTGGTTTAGGCACATTTCGTTTCGTGTTCGTTGTTATGAGCTTGGAGTATCGAGGCTGTGGCGGGATTAACAGATAACTCGCCACTCAGACTTCCTACGTGACGAAACTATTAGGAGCAAGGACGCTACTAGGGGCTGGCGTTACCTACGTTTCGTTTAGTTTGGCTTAGGCACGTTTCGTTTCGTGTTCGTTGTTTTGAGCTTGGAGTATCGAGGCTGTGGCGGGATGTACGCGGCGGCTCAAGCAGAGAGACCGCAGCATTTTCAAAACGAGATCGCGCAAGTCTCCACAGACCGTAGCCGGGAATATACAGCAAGGCAAGAGCAATGAAGAATGTACTGGCAAGAAGTTTCAACACACCACTAGTAACAAGAAGCTAGCAGTAACAAAGGGCATCGCTACTAGGAGCCAGGACGCTACTAGGTGCTCCTGCCCTGAAGCTAATAGCAGGAAACCTACGTTTCGTTTAGGAACTATTAGGAGCAAGGACGCTACTAGGGGCTCCTGGCCTTACGTTTCGTTTAGTTTGGCTTAGGCGCGTTTCGTTTCGTGTTCGTTGTTTTGAGCTTGGAGTATCGAGGCTGTGGCGGGATGTACGCGGCGGCTCAAGCAGAGAGACCGCAGCATTTTCAAAATGAGATCGCGCAATTCTCCACAGACCGTAGCCGGGGGAACATACAGCAAGGCAAGAGCATGAAGAATGTACTGGCAAGAAGTTTCAACACACCACTTGGGATGGAAGTGTCCATTTCGTTTAGGTTCGTTGAGTTTGGTTTAGGCACGTTTCGTTTCGTGTTCGTTGTGTTTTGTTTTGAGCTTAGAGTATCGAGTCCGTGGCGCGATGTGCGCGGTGGCTCAAGCAGAGAGACCGCAGCAATTTCCAAGTGAGATCGCACAAGTCTCCACAGACCGTAGCCGGGAACATGCAGCAAGGCAAGAGCAGTGAAGAATGTACTTGCAAGAAGTTTCAACACACCTAAGCTTCTCGTCAAGGGGCGCGCGGACCATGGCCACTCTGCAGGACGCAGTTCTGCGAAACGCGGAGGCAGCGGGTCAGCAGGAGCAAGAGGCACAGCGCCTGCGAGACGGACACCGCGAGGGAGGCGCGGCGTGGCTGCGCGCCGAGCTGCAGGCCAAGAACCGCGGCGCCTTGCAGAAGCTATGCGCGCAGTTGGGACCGCCGCAGAAGCACGACGGCGCAAAGTACTTATAGCTTTTTGGCTCCAGTATTCATAACATCTAGGCTTCGGACAGATTGCCCTGATATGAATCACCTGCAGCCATCCCTGCCACTATTGCCTGTGGAGCTTTGTGCGCAAGAGTGGATCGACAATATGAAGGAT